CGAGGTGTTTGGATAGTCGATGAAACACAGTCTCGAGTGTTTGATCTATCTTCTCAATCGAAACAAAAACTAAGGAGTAAACGAAGAAGTAAAACCTTCAAAATCTGTGCTAATTAAGACCGGGTATCCAAAGCTCCTTCACGGTTGTGATTTTCTTTGTTTTAACTTGATGAAGAATTAATGAGTTCGAGGAAATTAGTTCATAGTTCTCCTATGACTTGTCTGTAAAATATTGGGTTGGTTGTACGAACTAATGAAAATATGGAAACGCTGAAAGTTATGGCACCCTTAAGAGTCACGATAGGAGCACGAACTTGGTGTTCCACTCCTCGAGCAAGGCAATGTTTCCCATCGGTCAGACGGCAATTTTATGCCAACAATGTCTTTTCAACGTCACTCAGAGATAAGTAGATTCTGAAGTTTATCAATCAGTTTTAGGAGCTGTTTTTTTTTTTTACTTAGTATCACTAACCGAAATTTCAAGCCGTGAAGTTCCACACGGCGTCTTTTTGGCAGAGTGCGACTCAAGGACACGTCTGAAATTCACGCTAATCACTCACAAGTTAATAGAATTGAAGATCTGTAAGTTTTGATATGCTATCTTTTTATTCATAGCTATACACAAGAAAGCTCTTTTGGCTCACCATTTTAGATGCTTTGTATGAAAGTGTAGTGATATTTTTTGCTGCTTACCTGGTAAGTATTGTGAAAAGGCTAGTTAAATTATGTTCGAACCAGCCCGTTATGTCTTTATTTTCGGCATGCAAAAAACTGTCAGTTTTGTTTTTTTCAGTATTGCAAAACTACTTATGAACCGAAGAAACTCATTACAATAGTTGTTCAAGGTGCAAAAACACACATTATCCTGTTTTTTCCCGGTTAACGTCAAGTTTAACCTTTGGTTATCTGCCGATGTAGCGGGTATGAATTTCTTTTGAAGCTTATCTCCCGAAAGTATGTATTGTAAAAACTTATAGTTGAATGAATGTCATCAGTTATTTGTTCGTCTCGTATTTCGTTCAAGGTGTACAATGGAAGCACAGCCGGCTTGAGAATGGTTGGAGTGACGCTACATCAGAGTTCAGTGATTGTTGCTAATTTGTACTTGGCACTTATAACAGCACAGTGGGTAAGCAAGAATATTACTCATGCAAGAGAATGTTTCAAATGTCAGTCATATGTTTGAACTGCGGGATAAAGATTGAAAGACAGTAGAGATCAGGTAGAGATCGTCGCAGTTATGTACGCAACTAATGCTCTTGCGAAATTAAAGTTCGTCAAAAAGTTCATCAAAAATACTCCGCGACGCGTCGTATTTTCAACTCTCTCAGTTCTCGGTGTTTGGAAATGTGGTCAAACACGGTCTTTCGTGTTTGATATATTTTTCTGGAGTTTTCCCTCTCAAGTTACACGACAGAGCTAGAAAAAAAAATTCATATAGTAATGTTTTTGAGCGATATGACAGGGGCTGAATTGCTGACATGCTCTAAACTGTATAAAAGGCAAGTTTATCAAATTCGAAACCTTCTGCAATACTGTTAAATTTGTTAACATTGGTTGTTATTGCGCTGCAGACAATCCTCCACCATGTGATTTTATGGGGCAGTATTGTTCTCTCGTTCTTGTGGTACTTTGTACTCGGCGGCTTAGAACGTTTCCTTTGGGATATGTACTTCGTACCGTTTGTAACCATGGCAACTATGGAATTCTGGGCTGTCTGCGCAATAAGTGCAGTGTTGGCTCTTCTTCCAAGGTAAAGTAGGTTTGTTCTTTATTTACTGCAGTCTTGGGATAATTAATAACGGTTTATATGTCATTTTGTTGCCTGACGACAGGGTTGTGATGATGGTGGCTCGGCACACGATCTGGCCGACAGAAATCCACAAGGCTCAGTTAGAGTCAAAAGGCCGTGAACCATCGGATTCACTCAGGAGTAGAATCACTTACGTGGAACAAAGTCCTGAAATTCAGAGGACAGGCGCGTCTGTCTCCCTGTAACGTGACCTGAAGATCAGAGCGACTATTTTCTGATATACTTCGTCTGTGAAGGTGATGGTTGTTATCACACAAGTGGGCGTCGCTAAAAGTGGACGCGTTTCGTTTGTTGAATGGCCTCGCGGGCAAAACACACCCATAACAGCAGGGACACAACCATAAAAGACAAGGGAAACACATGGCAAACAATGTGGACGGTTTCATTTAGATTGCAGAGTCCTTAACTTTGCATGGAAATATTTAATCTTAGTAAATTAAGCGTAGATTTCTTCATGTGAACTACTCAAGTCTGTCGCAACAAAGTTAAACTCCTGTTACTTAGTTTTGTATCTTTATGTGTCAATTAGGTATTTCTCCAACATTATTTACATGTAAAAACCGAATTATTTGTTGCTACGAGTCCGAATGGAGATTTTGCATAATTTATGTCGTTTTGAAACTGGCACATGTACTGTTTTATTTACAATATTTCTGGAAAAATAGTTAGAAGCAAATTAAATAAAGAATACATGTATGTCATTTAGTTTTGGTAAGACTAAGCTTACAATTTAGTGATGCCTTGCGAAATATGCTTTTGGGGGAAAAGTAATTTTAATAGTAAAAACTGTCAAACAGCATCAACATTTCAGTTAGGAAATTAAAGTGGAAATCTTTTTCCTCAATCTGCCTAGATTCACTGGTGTGACTGAATGTATTTAGAACTTGGCCATGACGGAATGTTTCAAGCAAACCCTTGTTAGATTGCAAAACAATGAGTAACTTAGACAACACTGTCCTTATTCCTAAAAGAAGCCAAACACTAAGAGCTTTCAGTATTATATAAACAATAGCCTCCATTTGGCGCGAAAATATGCTCGGATGTATGTCCGCGGACATTATCTGTGAACTTTGCGGAACAGATAATGTCCAAGGACAAATATGCGAGCATATTTTCACCCCCACATGGAGGCTATTGTATTTATTATCATTCAAATCTTTTTTGCAACATGGGCAGTTTTGAAAATTGTTTTAGCTGGAGCATATTCAGTCACGTAACGCGTTTAGACCAATCGCGAGCGAGCGAGCTAAAATATTTGATGGATTATAAGTAAAGATAAGATTGTAGTACTTTGAAAATACATTGGGATGACACGTGACAACAGCGAAAACATGAGCTTTTCGTAAAGGTAGATTTTCGATAAAACGCTGTGTTAAGTTAACACCTCGAGCATTCAATAAGTCCCCCAGGGTTACAATGGAGAAATACGATATTTCATTTCAGACTTCACCTCAGGTTCCTACACTCCGACCCATTCTGTTGCCGGCAGTCGATTTCAGTCCTTATTGAGGACATATGGTGATATTTTGCTGTTGTCGAGGAGACGGGGTGGTGGGAATCACTCCGAACTGTTTTTCCTCAAGTGTAATAAATGAATTAAACATTACAACACGGTACTGAACTTTCGTTCGAGTTTTTGGGCAAAGGAGATTTGTATTATGAGTTGTTCTTTTGAATAGGAATAAGATTGCCTTTTGAGCAACGAATACCAAGACCATTTAAATACCCAATAATGTAATACCGTAAATCTTCGAATTAGCGCCCCTCCTCGAATAAGCGCCCCCTTCGAATAAGCGCCCCTCCTATCGGCCAAAATTTAAAATAAGCGCCCCCCTTCGAATAAGTGGCCCCCTCCCCTCCCGCCCCCAGTTTTGTGGACGAGTAGTGAGACAACAAAGGATGTATAGCTTTCGTCATGTAGTATTAAATTTGTATATT